AAATGAACATGTCTATAATTTGTAGGAAATAGCTTACAGTTAATATGAAATGATTCAGACTTGTTAGAAAACTAACCTACACCTAACAGTAAAATAATTAGAGTAAAAATGATATTACTTAAACTTTATATCAAATCTTTTATAATTAATAGGAAATAAATCAAGCTTAACCTGAAATGACTTATATTTAATATGACATTATTTAGAATTAATAAGAACCGATTAAACTTAATAGGAACTAAATTAGACTTAACATGATATAACTTAAACTTCACAACAAATGATTTACAATTAACAGGAAATAAATCCTAAATAAAAGTATCAGCAAAACTTGTATAGCCTATTTAGCCTTTCTTCTTGATTTCCTCATTCTTCACCTTCTTCTTTGAACTCTTCTCACTAGCAAGTCATTTAGGCTAACGATGCAGATTTTGTTTCCTCAATGCTGGGGGTGGGATTCTTTCCCTTTTGGGACCTGAAACATCATCATTCCTCACATTAGGCTTCATAAGTGGGTATTTTGAGAGACGAGGATATACTTCAACAGTAGGTTTCACAACTAATATTTTGGAAGTTTTTTCTGCCTTTGAAGCAATCGTCCTCTTCCTCAAAGATCCAACTTTCTCACCCTATAGTACCCAATTAGTCATTAGAGGTCTGAATCTATTGCTAACGACATATTTCTTTATATCCGTCATCTCATAATACCAAAGCTGTAAAAATACATTCACCTTTTTAAGAATTAGAAAATGACCAGATTTAAAATAACAGTAACATCTTATAATTAACAAGAAATAACTTACACATAACATAAAACGATTTAGGATTATTAGGAACTGAATTAAACTTAATAGGAACCTAAATAACATGAAAAATACTAAACTACATAGTAAATAATCTACACTTCACTGGATATGAAATAGACTTAACATTCACATATTATACTTAACATGAAACAAAAATCATGCACATAAATTTTACCACATTAATAATTTAAATATAGAACTTAGCGGCATGCATCCAGGGATATATGTAACTCCTAGATTCTTCAAGTCCTTCAATGCAATTTTAATTCCTCTAATAGTTTTCATATAAATAAATTTCACATGCAACTCTTTTCACTCTTCTAATGCTATCCACATACTTGAATAATAGCCTAGGGATACCTTGCATACTTTTAGGGCACCATATCATTGAGCACTGATAAATAATTTGCAGCAAAACAAAATCTTGGATAGCATTCTTTTTCTTTGATTCCACAAGATTTTCTAGTAGATCTTCAACATGTCTTCGCATGCTCATTAGTGCTCTTCTTTTTTGTCCCTTCTCCCCCTCTTCATGCATATATAGTACTAAAATATTCTATTCATATTTTACTATTGGGGTCTTGATTGGTATAAATAATTTCCCCGTCAATTGGGAAACAAGTAGGATCATGAACCCAATCCAAGTCAAAGTTGACAATTCTTTTTCCAGATTTAGTATCAAGGATAGAAAACGTTTTACTATCAGGATCATAATAACTCAGCACTAGCTCATGTGTTGGACGATCAAGTGTAGGAGCACCAAAGATAATATGGTGCTCAAATGTGGACCACATATGCATCCATATGCCACTGACACATCTTAGGGGCAAGAAACTTCATAAATTCATAATATGTACTGAAACTAGCAGTTGTCCTAATTTTAGCAAGATCACTAAGCTTGTTCCTGGTAAAAAAGTAAAATGTACATTATAGGCATAAAAATTGTCTATAGATTGCAAAGAAGCTCAAAACTGACGAAAACGCTGATATCTCTCAAACCGGATGGACTTTGGCAAAACGAATAGTGGCAAACCAAACTTTGGTAGGTTTGGTTGGCTCCGTCTCATCGAGATAGGTGATTTTTATATATAATTTATCTAATTCTGACTTACGGTTTGAAAGTTATGATCCGTTTTTTACAGCATGTTCTGAAGTCCGCCTGAACTAATCGAACCTCGCCTGAACTATTGGACCAAGTCTATAGGTTCCCATAACACAACTCGAGATGAAAAGAAGGCGATAAACGTCATCATCCGAGTCAAAGAAGATTATCTAATGTTAAAAGGAAGCAAAGAAACATGCGAAACGACAGAATGAAGAAGTGATGGGACGACAAAACGACAAAACGACGACCTCAGGGTGTCTTGGAAGTACGAGACACCTCAGGGTGTCTCGTACGTCGAGAAGCTGATGACATGGTTTTTGATATTTTCTTTGGGTTTTGTGTTATCCATTGGCTTCCTAACTACCTTGGGGGTTATCCTTAAACATGGGAGAGCCGTTTTTGACTGAAGATAGGTTCAAATCCCGGATTCCTATCCACAAACTTGACGTTCAAGCCTTATAAATAGCCCCCTTTGTGCAATTGTGAAGGGTACTGATGAGATTTGAGCCTTTAGGCGAGTTGCTGACATTTTCCAAAGTAGAGCCACGAATTTCAGACAGAGAGAGAGATGTGAGATCTTTGTGAATTCCTACGCATAAAGAGAGGATTTCGAGAGATCTACAGCCTTTTCACTCATTCCCTTGAAATCAGACCTTGTTTTGATCTTGAGAAGAGTGATAATCTCACTTTGTTGAGGTTATTAACTTCTATTCTAAGTTTCCTCGATTGAAACAAAGAACACCGAGCCTTCTTTCAGATCAACCCGGATCTATTATTCGGCGGTCCATGGATCAAAACGTCCCCAGCACAGGCAAAGATTTCACGCAAGCAGCGACCGATAAACGATCTCTGCATGTGTTTCTAAGAGATCTCATTTGTTTGTTTTCATTTGTGTAAAGAAGTCTTATAAAAATGCTTACTTTTTTGAATCTGTAATTCAATAAACGAGTTGTAATGGATTTCACAATGAAAAAGATTTCCAACGCAAACATACACTTAACATGAAACTTAGTTTATTTAACATGAAACTCAGTTTAGTTAACATAAAACTCAGTTTACTTAACATGTATTAGATTAAACTTAAATGAACATTAGTTTAGTTGACATGAAACCCAATTTACTTATTATTATTGGATTAAACATAACATGAACATCGTTTACTTAACTCAGTTTAATTGACGAGTATTGAAATAATCTTAACATATAATTTTTTATACTTAACAATACAAACTCAGTTTAGTTAGCATGAAAGTCAGTTTAATTGACATAAAACCCAGTTTAGTTAACATGTATTGGATTGAAACTAACATGAACTTCAGATTAGTTAACATGAAAATTAGTTTAGTTATTATGAAACTCAGTTTAGTTAACATGAAACTCAGTTTAGTTAATATTAAACTCAATTTATATATTATGTATGTGATTAAACTTAATATGAACATCATTTTACTTAACAATTAAATTTGTACTGCATTTACAGCAATTCCTCTAAAAAATTTAAACGTCAGTCACTCACTTACACATATCAGATATTCTTCTAAAAATAACTATAAACTACATCAATACAATATTTTAAGTTTTCCAAACTACAATGAAGTTAACATATACTGCAATAAATTTAACAAGTAATACTAAAGAGACATTGTAAATCTTCATCTCTTTAAAATAGAAAAAAAAAACACTTACTTCTTTCTAGGCTTGGAGTCATCACCTACTAAGCTTCTTTTTTTGCCTCTTCCTAGTAGTTCACCTCTTTGCATGCCCAAAAGGGCCTTCGGTGTTTCCTTCGTACTTCCATTTCCAGAGGGTTAATGAGATTCATTGTTGCTAGAAGTGGCAGGACTGTCATCACTCGAAGAGGCCGTATGATCATCATCAACTTCACCACTTTGCTCACGAAGTACGACCAACGACGCAAATTTTGCTTCGTTTTTTATGTTTAGACCATTTTTCATGGCCACCATCGTTGTGCCTCTGCCGTCCATGTTAATGGATGACTTCGAGTTTGTGATCAAATACTTCCTTAGACGTTATTTTCACTGAGTAATACCTTAACCCTAAGTTGAAATTTGAGAGGGAGAAATGAACTTTGGGATTTTTGGGTTCCTATTAACAATAGAAGAGAGAGGAGAGAGGGAGATAATACTTGAAAGGGGGGATGGGCGCGGTTACCAATTTTGCAGGTGTCGTGTCATAAGAGTTCGGAAGTAATTTTAAGTGGGCTTTTTTCTAACTACTTACTTGGCAGCCTAATTGAGACATTGACACAAAATACTGTTAGTATTTAGGGTTGAAACATAAGGCCGAAAATGCAAAAGGGCTAGTCACATGGAATGATTTAAATTAGGGTTTTGACACAAATTTTCCTTTATTTTTTACAAGCCAAAAATCAAAAAAATAGTACCGTGTTGTTAGGAGATGGAGGCAAAACTTGTACTTCTTTTAATTTCTTTTATTTCTTGTTTTTTTTAACCTTCTATTAGGCTATCTTTTCGTTATTGCTTATGTTTAACGTGGATCCCTTGTGGTTTTTTGTTTTAACTGGAAAATTGAATTAACAACATTTGAGTATTTCATAGTGACGTTTTAAGTAGACAATGAAAATTTAAAGAATTATAATCCGTGATGATTTTTTTTCTTGTAATTTTTTCACTTAATAGTGATTTTTGTTTTTAGAAAATAAACTAATATCACTTGAAGATATGATAAATTAATTGTTGTAAATAGTTGGAATTGTTAAAGGTTGATTCTTTTGGAGTAATAATTTATTTTCATTAATATTTAAGTTGTTGCTAATAGATGATTACAATTATTAATTTTGAATAGAAAAAATCAAGGCACTAGGACCAGATGGGTTCAGTGTTTCTTTTTTCAAAGCTATCTGGTCTATTATAGGCAATGAAGTCACACCGGCAATAGAAGAATTCTTCAAATGAGGGAAGCTCTTGGGAAAGGTGAACTCCACTTCTATTACACTCATTCCTAAGGTCAATTGTCCAAAGTTCCCTTCAGAATTCAGACCTATTTCATGTTGCAACTGCATGTATAAATTCATTTCAAAGATCCTGGCAAATAGGATTACGAAGGTGATGGAGTTCCTAGTGAACGAAGCTCAGTGTGCTTTTGTTCAAGGTAGGCAGATCACAAGTAATATAATGCTAGCTCAAGAGCTTGTAAAAAGCTACAACAGGAAGAATATATATTCAAGGGCAATGTTAAATATTGATATTAGAAAGGCATTTGATTCCATTAGCTGGGATTTTATTTCTGATATGCTCAAGGGATTGGGATTTCCAAGTGTTATGGTCAAGTGGTTTATGTCTTGCATTACTTCTCCAAAATATTCACTCTCCTTCAATGGATCCCTTCATGGATATTTCAAGGGTGAGCACGATCTAAGACAAGGGGACCCTCTTTCTCCATATCTCTTTATTTTGAGAATGGATTAACTCTCAAGGAGTTTAGGATTATTGAAAAATGATAGGCTCTTCAAATTTCATCCTAAATATGGTAAGCTCAAGATCACTCATCTTATGTTTGCAGATGACTTACTCTTCTTCTCTAAAGGTGATCTATACTCGGTTGAAAAGCTTTACCAATGTGTTAAAAATTTTGGCCTCATCTCTGGTCTTGAAGCGAATCATGAAAAAAGCTCTATATACTATGGAGGAGTTGAGGAACCAGTAAAGGCCAGTATCAACAATCGCCTGAGGTTTAATGAAGGGGTTCTGCCCTTCAAATATCTTGGTGTGCCTCTCATAACCAAAAGGATGTCCACTCTGAATTGTGTTCCTCTATTCAAAAATATTGAAGGGCAATTCAAAAAGTGGGTGAATCATAGAAATCTATCCTATGCAGGTAGGCTTCAGGTCATTAAAAGTGATTCTTAGAGTGCAAATATAACATCTTACCAAAGTGTGTACTTCAAAGAATAGATGACCTATGTAGGAAGTTCCTGTGGGTAAATAATGCTCAGAACAACAGGACCTCATTAGTTGTTTGGGAGAGAGTCTGTGTAAGCAAAAAACATGGTGGCTTGGGTATTTTCTCAGCCTCAACCTGGAATATGGCATCTGCATTGAGATGCATATGGTTGATCCACAACAACAAAGAGAACTTATGGATCAAATGGATTCATAGTATTTACTTAAGACATAGAGACATTTGGTAAGTTAAGGCAAGGAATGGAGACCCTTGGACCTGGAAACAATTGTTAAAGGTCAAAGATATTTTGGTGGATCATTGTGGAGTTGACAACCTAAGGTTACTTATCTACTCTTGTTACAAAAATGATAAACTCAAATTGTCAGCTCTATATCATGCTCTCTCATCTGCTCATGTGATTGTGCCTTGGTACAATACTGTCTGGGAGGTTTTGAACATTCCTAAACACTCATTTGTGTGTTGGTTGGCGATACAGAACAAGCTTCTCACCCAGGACAGGTTACTGAGGAGGGGAATAATCTATTCCAACAATTGTTACCTATGTGCTGGAGCAGATCTTGAATCTAGAGATCACTTATTTTTTGAATGTATATACTCAAGCAATGTGTGGAATACTATCATAGATTGGTTGAAGTTCAATTGGAAATATTGCCGCCTATGGAGCTACATTTTGGATTGGTACTCCAACAGGTTGAATGGAAGGGGATTCAAGCAAAAGATAAAGAGAATGGCCTTAACAACTACAATCTATTGCGTTTGGAGAGAAAGAAATGACGGGTTCTTTAATCAAAAATGCAAAGATCCAGACCATTTGGCGAAGGAAATCAAATTTGAAATTTTAACTGCAGTACTCAACAGTCCCTTATCTACTTCCTGGGAAGAAATTTTTTGTTGAAAAGCTGTGTTGAGCATGCTACCAGCTCTCTTTTGTATTCTCAGTATATGTATTGAGTTTTAAGGTGTACATAACTCTTTTATTTTGGTTATGAATAAAAATCATTCGTTGTCCAAAAAAATAGAAAAAATCAAAAGCATTAAGTTTGTAGTCATTTTACTATGATAGCAGAATGAGTTGGGGAGTATTTAATGCTCCTTAACACGTGGCCTAAGGGAATGTAGGAAAAAAGATTATTGCAAACAAAACATTCAACATTAAGCGACAAATATATAACTTCAATTCAATGACAACACAATGGTAATAGTTCCCTTACAAAGCTCTCAAACGCTAAATCTAAAAATGAGAAGCCCAGTATACATCCCCTTGCTCTTTTTATATACACCTTTTTACCTACTTATCGATCTATATGGTCATCTGCAACATGCTTTATAACTAATTATGTGTTTCTAAAATAAATTTTATGATTGTTTTTAAAGTAACTTCATGGTAACGGAAATAAACCTTTAAAATTGGTATCTATAAATATTCTCGTTTCGAAAGCATTTTTTAGATGTTATTTTCTAGCCATATAAAAAAATTTCCGCATACATTTTTGGTAGGGAAGTCAATTTTTGCTCATACCCATTTGCCCACCTAGCCCGCCCATCACTTGGCCCGCCTAAAACCCACCCATTTAGTTAAATAGGTCTGATCGGGCGGGTTCATTTTAAATTATACTAAATGGGCACTAATTGGGCGGTGTTTATTAACCCGTTTGCCCGCCCACCCGTATTCACAAAACAAAAACTCTAAATCCCGACCCCAATTCCTCTCTGAGCTCTTCTTTTCTCTCGAACCCCGACCCCAATTCCTCCTCCTCCGCTTCAATCCCGACCCCAATTCCTCCTCCTCCGCCTCCTCCACCGCCGCCTCAACCGCCTCTCGAACCCAGAGCCTCCTCCGCCTCCTCCTCCGCCGCCTCAACCGCCTCTTGCCTCTCAGAAGATCCTGTTCTATGTTTGTCGCAACTGTGATCATCAGGTTCAGTCACTTCTCATTGTTAATGTTAAGGCAAATTTGGGACTTGGGTTATTGAAGAGAGTAACCTTTATGCTCATGTTCTTTCATTTTCTAGGGTTTTACCCTACAATTAGTCCTATTTTGCAATGAAGTAGCCTGTTTAGCAAATTTGGGACTTGAGTATTTGAGAATGTCATTTGTTTGTCTCCTTTGGGTCTATTGTGCTTGAGATAAGTTTAGTTTGGCTGATAGTTTGTGAAATTAGAATGTGAGCATTGTAAAGGAATCGCCTTTTCTATATTCTTTTTACTGGTGTGGGTATTATTTGTCTAGATGCATTTGATGACCTTGCTTTGCTGCATTCTAATTTTAGATTTAAGGTGGTTTCATTGACGTCTGAGATTACCTAGAAGGACCACTCAAGACCTTATCAAACTGGAAAAATTCTTTGTGGTTTCATTGACGTCTGAGATTACCTAGAAGGACCACTCAAGACCTTATCAAACTGGAAAAATTCTTTGTCAACCATTATGCATCATATTAGTCTCCGCAGGACCACTCAAGACCTTATCAAACTGGAAAAATTCTTTGTCAACCATTATGCATCATATTAGTCTCCGCTCCCAGAGTTTAATAAAAAGTTGGTTTGATTTGTGTTACTGGAGCATTTACATAGTTTATATTTCCATTCCTATGTGTGTCAAGAAGGGTAAAGCAAAAATAAATTGACGATATCTTGCATAGCCTTTCCATTAAGGGATTAAAAGGTTAACATTCTTTTTCCTTGAAATGATGCTTGGCAACCGGTACATGAGCCATCGTAAAAGCATGACATGACATCTCAGTGTTAAAAAAACACCATACATACCATGCAATGAGAGGATAAAGATGCAAGACTAAGATTTCATATGACATAGAAGCATCTCACAATTTTATAAGGGTTAGAGTACCTTAGAAGAAATTTTTGTGCATGAGTGTATTTGGGAAAAAAATTCAAAATCCTGGTCTCGGTTTATTGACTATCAAAAAATTATTAATATCTTCTTTCTGTTGAACCACTCAAAACTAACAAGGTAGTATCCTGATCATTCATAGTTTCATTTTAGAATTTAGCCAATGACAAAATAATTCTTGTATTGCCTAGTACCTAATGATTTTACAGACATGAATACACATATTGTGTCTGGCAGGTGTTTAATGCATGTGTCATATATGAGCACATATTAGCAAACACAATAGATGCTTCATAAATTCTCATTGTATGGTGTTGGATTGTTATCTCAACTACGTGTCATTTAAAGATTTTTTTCCCCTTGATTGTCAAAATCCTTACATTGTTGGCCTTCTTGTTTTGATGATGATTTACAAGCAATTTACTACTAATATTGTTTGTCTAGTGTTTGTGCATTCCTATGTATTGTAGACAAACAACGTAGTTGGAGGATGGATGGATTGCGCCATAACGACGATATCAAATGGAGGTTGGAGGAATTGTGGAGTGAAGCATCGTACAATTCAAGTTCAAGATCAAGTTCAAGCTTCATCCGCACGTGTACCAAGTCAAGCTTAATTGAAGATCAAGATTGCTTGGGTAATGTAGTTTAGGATTTATATTATGTGTGTTAAGTACTCTAAGCTCAATTATCTATACACACACATTTTATTGGTTCCCTTGTATATATATGTAGTCACATATATGTACAACACAAGTTTTAGTTTTCATGTTTATAAATATGAAATTACATGTTTTATATTTATTATTGTGATTTGGTTTATCTACTTAGATATGAAACAAATATATTTTCATATACATACTCATAAGTTTCATTTTCTATTGTATCTGTGAAAATATTGTATTCTTAGTTTGTAGACTTCAATATCAGTTTATACATGTTTTACTAAGTCTATAAAATCATTTTGTAAAGTTTCAAAAGTTGGTTTAGCCAAAATGTCAAAATTCACATGTTTACATTTTCGTGTTTTGGACTATCTTGCAAAATGATGATATTTTTCATTTGGGAAGTCCTTTTTCGAAACCAGTCATTGTAGCATGTTTATTATCATGTCTACAATCATTCCCCAAAGTTTTACATTTTTTGGAATTTATTTGATATTTTTAAACAGTGTTTCAAAATCAGATGCACAGCTTTCAAAACTATTTTTCAGTGGTCGACCGCACCGGTCGACCGCTCGTTTGTTCTTTCGACAGTAGGCTCCAGAGAGTTCGTCGGTCGACCGCCGCGGTCGACCGAGAGCTTCCTTCGGTCGACCGCACCGGTCGACGTCATTGTAGCATGTTTATTATCATGTCTACAATCATTCCCCAAAGTTTTACATTTTTTGGAATTTATTTGATATTTTTAAACAGTGTTTCAAAATCAGATGTACAGCTTTCAAAACTGTTTTTCAGAAGTATCAGTATTCGGTCGACCGCACCGGTCGACCGAACCTGAGTTCATATGTTCACTGGGTGACAGAGAGTCTGTCGGTCGATCGGTCCGGTCGACCGAAAAACTCCATCGGTCGACCGCACCGGTCGACCGACGATGGTCCAGAACGTTTTCTTCGTGTTTTTGCTCTCATCGGTCGACCGACGGAATTTTCGATCGACCGACAATATAGCCGTTTTGGGGTTTGCTGTTACAAAGAGGAGTTTGCATCACCAGTTGAGGATTTCATCCTCAAAATCTTCTCATCCTCTCTTTGTGTTTATAGAGAAGTTTTCTAACTCTTTTCCCTAGCAATTTCATTATTGATTTATCATATATTAATTATTGCTAGTTTGCTATTTGAGTTAGATTTCATTTTACTCATTGTTACACACACCCACATTGAGCTTTTAGTATTTACATACATAGTATAGTTGGGTGGTGAGAGTTTGTAACTTTGAGTTGTGCTTAATTGTGTTCTCATCCATAGTTGAGAACAATCATTTGTTATATTGTGCTTATTGTGAGATTCACTTTGTAATACACTTGTACACCGAGTGAGGAGTGTGTGGTGAGAGTCGGGGATCGTCCCAAGAGGAGTGGCGTCGGTTGACGTGCCTAGGGAGAGGTTGTAACCGAGCACTTGAGGGAGACACGGCTAGGTCCAACACTTAGTGGGTGTAGAGTGGGATTACAATAGTGTGTTGATTGTAAAGTTTTCGGTTAGCTAGAAAACCGAGTGTGAGGTGTAAACGTTGTTCGGGTGAACGTAGAAAACCCGGTTGATAGTGGATTTCTCCCCGGGAGTGGGGAGCGGAGACGTAGGACGGAAGGTCCGAACTCCGTGATCATCTTTGTGTGTTTGTGATTGTCTTGGCGTCTCACTTGTGCTTATTGTTCATATCATTCTTGTCGCCATTATCTATTGTTCACATTGTCCACTATCTTGTTTATCTTGTTTATGTTTATATCACCCTTAGTTTATATATCCTTGCATATATATTTCATCATATAGGATATATCACTTTGTGTATATTGCATATTCTTGCCCATAATAGATTGTATACCTATCTTGCAAGAATATAGTTGTTAATTATTTTAATTGGTATTTAAATCGGATTAGATTAGCATAAGACCCTAATCACCCCCCTCTAGGGTCTAATATACATATGGTCTCATGGTTGTATACAAAAGTTTTATTTTTAAAGTAATTTGCATTGCTTCCACAGTTCTAACTTAGAACCTTGTTTCTTTGTTGTACTCTTCTCTCTTTTACCATCCTTCGTTTTGAACAATATTGTCCTGACCTTCAAGTAATCAAAGGTTGTACTCTTCTCTCTTTTACCATCCTTCGTTTTGAACAATATTGTCCTGACCTTCAAGTAATCAAAGTGGTTGCTAATCAGTATTCTTGGCCATGAACTACAAGTATAAATTCCTATGACCTTCAAGTAATCAAAGTGGTTGCTAATCAGTATTCTTGGCCATGAACTACAAGTATAAATTCCTATGTCTTCATTGATAGAAAATCTCATGTGATATATGTGTATCCATGTGATCCGACTCTTTTTGTTTCCATCGAACATAAGGTTAGACTTTTGGCAAATGGAAAAGCATTTGTTCTGGTACCAAAATAAACTTTAGTAGTTACCTGTATTTGTTATTTCTGAGCATGTTGCTAGTGTTTTGATATTTATGCTACCTCCTGTGATGGTTATCTTTTGCGATTTACATGCATAGAGTTCTAGCTCTATTTATAATATTCACATGATAAAATTAACTTTTTAAGTTTTTACTGCATTATGGGAAGTTTTCTTCGCATGTTAGGTGCTTGCTATTCATTACCTTCGTTGTTATAACACCCATGACATTTTAATAAGAAATCACTTTCTTGCAGATCTTAATGTTGTTTGCCTTCGTTTCTTACCGATCTGAAGATCAGCGGGCTTATGAAAGGTATTTTTATGAAGTTTCTCTTCTATAAATTTCATTATATAAAATCAATAATGAGTGACAGTTCAAAAGATATAAATGTAGAAAAATGATAGGAAAGGAAATTTAAAGGATACACAAGCATATTTTCGAATGTTTTCTCCATGTAATATCACTCTTGTACAACATAAGCTTGCTTTCGAAGGATTCCTGTTGATGTTCACAAAATATTATCTATATCCAGAGTATTTCTATTGTGGCATTTTAAGGCGAGTTGTGAAGATTATTCATAATACAGGTTTGCACGTTCGAAAAAGTTGTGCTCTATTTGAATTTCTTTTTGATGTGGCATAAGTGGCTTCTTGTGGCATTGGTTATCGTAATAAACAATGTATATCATTTTGCAGGTGATGTATTCTTTGAGTTCTTTGCGCTTGGCATAGTAAAAAAAATACATGATTGGTAATTTTAATGCTATCTTGTTCAATATGTTCATGCTATTCCTGAATGGGTTATATACATGCCTGTGCATATTTTGATAATTCAAAAAGTTTGAAAAAACCCCCTAAATTTTACAAAAAGTCCCCAATAGTTTACAAAATCCCCCCTAAAAGTTTACAAAAAACACCCTAAAAGTATTATACATATATATCTACTATAGTTAAATTGGCAAATGGGCGGCTCATTTATTAAATGGGCGGGTAAAAACCCGCCCATTTAGAAAATGTTAAATGTGCCAATAATGGGTAAATGGGCAAAACATACCCACTCATTTATGACCCGCCCATTTAATACCCAAACCCACTCTGGCCACCCATTTAATATCCCTAATTTCCAGCAATGACAATGAGGATGAGTGTCACATGACCCTACTTGACATAAATTGGGAATGTCTCTCTGTCATCTATATAACTTCATATAATTGAAGCTGTGATCCTGCCCATGAGAACTTATTTTTACAAAAAAACATGAACACTTATACTCTATTAAGATACGTATAAAACAACCTTCTCCCAAAACACGATGTTCAAATTTAAGTAAGAGCATTTTAGCAATAACAAGAAGAAAAAAAAAACCTTTATCAAAACTTTTCCTGATCTGCTATATGAAAATTCTGCGCCCC